GAGTCTCAAAGACGTGACCGAAGCAAGCAGCTTTCATACATTTTAGGCAGAGAAACACCACGTTTGTGAAGAACTGACAAGCTGAAGAAGTTTGGGCTTGGGGTGGTAAGTTACTGAGGTAGTGATGAGGTTTATTGATGCAGCTCTCTTGCCTCTGAATTCTGTCTCTGGTAACAAGGATGCTGTCTACCCTCCTGGTCCAGGGAGGGTGCCTTTCACATGGAAGACTTATTTCCTTCTTTCAGGGGACAAAGGAGGATTGCTGGCTGCTTCTGAAGGAACTTTAATTCCAGTAATCAGTATGCTAAAGTGGCACCCTTTGGGGTGGCTGATTCTGCTCCTCTTTGGTATATAATGTACAGGATAATAGGCAATGAATATAGATAAAGATAATGAAATTTTAAATTGCAACTCTAATAACAAGCATTTTTCACCCCTAACTACGTGACAGCTCTTTACGTATTTTTATCTCACTTAATGCTAACACTGGGGCTTCCCCAGTGACTCAGATGTAAAGAAGCTGCCTGCCAATGCAGGAGACATAGGTTCGATCCCTGGAAGATTCTGGAAGATCCCCTGCAGAAGGAAATGGCAACCCACTCCAGTATTCTTGCCTGGAGAAGTCCATGGGGTCGCAAAGAGCCAGACACGACTTAACGACTAAACAACAAAAATAGGGGACAAAACATGGTGGCTCCATAGAAGGAAATAGAAACTCCCCATGGGACAGGCAGGTTCCAGCTCTGGCTCCTCTCTTGGTTGACCTTGAACCAGATGAGTTCACTGGGCAGCTTATAAAACCAGCGTCTTTCCTGCTGTAGCGCCCTCTAGGGGCCGTTTTAAGGCAAAGCATAAAAGTAGGCGTCAATAACAACCCAGTAGCAGCTACCCCAAGGAGGCTATGGACGGGAAGATATCTCCGCAGCAGACACACTATTCAAGCAGAAGACCGAGTGTCTTTTTAGAAGGGACCCGAGCGGCTGCCAAGCTGCTGGCTGACAGGAGGCGGGTGTAAGCTCCCCTGTTCGCATCCTGACTTCCTCGTCTTCTGTCAAGTTGCCTCACTGGAGTGCTCTAAACTTCAATTTGATAATTGCATCCTCAAATCCCTTAATGAAGGTGCCTATCAAAATATAAATAATTACCCGGTAATTTTGTATTTGCAAACTCTATGCTAGCTGTTTATGCTTCACTGCGGTTCAGATAGGAAGTTCGCTGCGTGCGAGCGTGCGCGCTAAGTTGCTTCAGTTGTGTCCGACTCTTTGTGACCCCGTGGACTGTAGCCCACCAGGTTCCTCTGTCCATGGGATTCCCCAGGCAAGAATACTGAAGTGGGTTGCCATGCCCTTCTCCGGGGGATCTTCCTGACCCAGGAATCGAACCCAGGTCTCCTGTATTGGCAGGTGGGTTCTTTACCACTAGCGCCACCTGGGAAGCCCAGGGACCCTCTCTTTTCTAAGTCAGGGGAATTTCCAGAACCCACAGAGTGGTTGATGTCCATAGCACAGTTCTCCAGCCAAGGCATCTGGTTTCACCTTCAGTCCCTCTCAACACTGACCTCTGTCGTTTTCTTCTGCTATTTATCAATACCAGGGAGGCTGACTTCTTGTTTTGGTGCTGGTGATGCAGACATCTGTTCTCATCAGAAGTTCATCCCTGGAACTTTCAAGTCCAGTGGCTATCTGTGAACAGCACTGGGATTGCTGTAAACACTTTCTTCCTCCTCAATAATCTGTTGTGTTCTTTGGACAGCATCCACTGTAGTTCATGGAAGGCACACCCCACTGGCCCATTACCTTTCTTCATCTTCCCTCTGGTTCCTATTTTGGCCGCATCCACTTATGATTCACAGAAGGCCACCCCCGGAAGTGCTGGGGATCCTGTGGGTTCAGTCTCTCAGTGGTGCCCCCACTCTCTGTGCGACCCCAGGGACTGTAGCCCACCAGGCTCCTCTGTCCGTGAGCTTTCCCAGGCAAGAATACTGGAGTGGGTTGCCATTTCCTCTCCAGGGGATCTTCCTGATACAGGGATCGAACCGAGGTCTCCTGCATTGCAGGTGGATTCTGTACCACTGAACCACCAGGGAAGCCCCAGGGAAGCTGCGCATTATCCAGTGGGCCAAAAGTAAAAAATGAAGCCCCCCAAAAAAGCCTTGCAAGATGTGTCACCTTTTGCTGGGGTGCTTCTCTGACTGTACGGCTATAGAGAGGATGTGTTTTTCGACGCTGGGTCTTGATATGAATGCAGAGAGAACCAACAGAGCTGACAGAAGCCAGGTGACAAATCCTGGGCTTCCGGGGATGATGTTTTTCTTTTCAATTCTGTTTTTAAGCAGACTTGTTAAGAGTTTGCAGCTGACAGCTCCTCCAGAAGTATTATTCTTAAAAGCTGCACTGAAATTATTCACCTCATGTAAAAACAAGTGCGATTTACATCTAATATGGGTAATCACTTTTACAGTTAATTAAAAGCGCTCTCATTAAACTCCTGCTGTGATGCCAATGCATAACTGTTATTTGCAAACAGACCCTGGGTTTGAGCTCACCTCTGTGACATATTGCTCCTACCTGAGAGGGGGCTGCCTTCCACGGTATCAAATTTAATTGTGCTGAGCCAGCAGCCCTGTGTTGCCAAGCTTCTGCCAACTTGCTCTCCTCCCCTGATAACCGAGCTGCGAAGAGCACAGAATGAAGAGAACAAAGTAATTTGTGGGGCTGAAGGTGTAATTCTCAAAGAAGTTGAGGTTCCAAGACGAATTCCCTCCTGTCTTTATTTGCATAAGAGCTAGGTTTGCAAATATTTCTGTGGTCTTTGTTGCTGCCCCCCCAAAAAAAAACACACACACCCCCCCCTTAAAATTCCTCCAAATCTTTATAAATTTAGCACCTTTGATTTCTGACCTAGCCTATTAGAGTAGTCTTGGTTCAATGGATTTATGTTGAGATCTTAGTTTACATGCACTTCTGCCATTTGTATTATTTCAGGAGAAATAGCTCTTAAATTCTAAGCCTTCTTCGAGCTTAAATGGAACTTAATGCTTTCAGAATACCTTGTACCTCGAAACACAGAACCTTAAACACATACTAATAAAACGTCTCCTCAAATGATCACATTCCTGGCAAGTAATTAAGGCTTATTAATTAAAGCACATAGTCATTTAAGGCTTAAGTTTTGAGGGAGCAGAAAGATTGTGATATTTCAAGAAGTTTACAGACCCAAAGAATTTGATGTTCTGGTATAGTGCTTGGCGCTTTTGATATTTTGCATGGTTATTTGCTGCCATCTGCTGGCCATATCTGATATTGCAGGGGCTGAGTAAATTGGTGAATGGAGGTGTTAAGAAGTGGGTACAATAGCCAGTGTGAACGTTATGTACTATCTCCATGTATTCCAGTGGCCTTGTCTGAATCTTAGTCCTTGGAGTTGAGTGAACGCAGACTGAGGATATCTTAATCGCACCAACTCTGGTTGCAAGACACTCAACTTTTTATCTTCTTTTTTTTTTAAGTAGGGCAGAATCTTCTTTAAATAAGGCAATTAAATTTAGAACATTGATTTAAATATTTGGATTCCAGGACAGTATATATTATTGAGGAAAGTCTGAAATACATAGCTGGTAGACCAGATGGATTTCAACCCCTCTTATCTCAAACTATCAAAGCCAATTTCCCACTCTCTGTCTCTTTGATACTGTTTTTTTTTTTTTCTCTCTTGTGCAAAATGGAAACGTTGAGCCAGTGGTCCTTATACCTTATAGTTATTTTTTCAAAGTCTGAGTCTATGTGGAGGTCAAAACAAAGAGTTAGGTTGCAATAAATCACCAATAATGCTCTAAATGCTAGATGCTAAACTCATAACTGGTTGGCTTCTTTTAAACTAGAAATAATTGTAATGTTCAGAACAGTAAGTGTCCAAGCTCTTGGGAAAAAATGCTATTTGGAAGGAAACCATTTATAATTAAAAGGGAAGAGAATACACCATGCCCAAATTTGCTTCCTTGCCAGAAGGATTATTGTTGTTGTTCAGTTGCTAAGTTGTGTCTGACTCTTTGTGACCCAGTGGACTGCAGCATACCAGGCTTCCCTGTCCTTCACTATCTCCCAGAGTTGCTCAAACTCATGTCCATCGAGTCGGTGATGCCATCTAACCATCTCATCCTCTGCCGCCCCCTTCTCCCCCTGCCTTCAATCTTTCCCAGCATCAGGGTCTTTTCCAGTGAGTAAGTTCTTCGCATCAGGTGGCCAAAGTGTTGCAGGATTACTGGGGAATGGTTATTTTTGAGAGGCCACAGATACTGAAGTATCTCTGAAAACAGAGTAGAAGCTGACTTTTTGAGAGGGAGATTTATATTTTGAGTGGGGGGGAATCTCCATTTGTAACAACATCTCCCTCTCCATAGAGAAAGAGGATGCTAAGTCTCTAGAAACCCTTGTCCTGGGAGAAGGCAAGCGCTTAAGTCCCCATCACAGCCACATCCTTGTTTACTGCGCTTTCCCTGATAACCAGCATCCCAACCCTAAGATCTTTTCTTGGCTGAAGAGGGTCCTTCATGGGTGGATGGCCCATTTCTGGCAGTTACTTTTCCTGGGTCTTTCCCCCGTGTTCAGGAGGCAAAGATGAAAAAGCCTTCCAGTAAATCCTCTGCATGCGAACAGGTTCCATTCCCAGAGGGTGTTCATAAGTCCAGTCTGTCCGTAAGTCCAACCAAGTTAGCCTGGGTACGCAATTGACAGAGCCAGCTTTGTAGAACTGTAATAGTTTAGAGTAGTGTATAGTTGCCACATAAATGCTACGTTAAAAAAAATAGTAATAAAGAAAACAGTCTAGGATCTTGAGAAGCGCCATAGCCCAGTACAGCAGCTGGCATACAGGGGCGGGCATGGAGTGAACAGGTCAGAAGGATCGGGGTGGAGAGGGGCCGGGAGACGCGGGGAGCCGAGGACCGTCAGCCCCGCCGCACGGAGGGCGAACTGCGGCTGCACTCACGCCGGACGTGGGCGTCACGGCTTCTGGTTCCTCGCCGGGTTCAACTCCATCCACCGTCTTGAAGCAAACAATTCGGTGATGTCTGGGCGGTGGGGCTTTTTTTTCTCACCGTGGATGGCATTCTGGATGGCCGCCGCAGCCTTCGTGTAGCCTTGTAGCTTCAGGCCCTGAGCCGCAAACCCTAACAGGGCCCGCTCAAATAAAGCAGCCGCCCCGCACCGTTTCCTGCATTCTGCCGCTCTTCCCGGCCTTCAATTCCTCCTCCTTGTCGCTCTCAGCCGTTTCTCTGGGCTTCTGATTCTTGGCGCTTGTTCGCAGTACCAGCTCCGTCTCTGCAGCTTTTATAACTGCTTCTGGACATCCCGGGCTGGAAATAAAGATCATATCCTACTGTGCTCTATACACAAAGACACAGCCGCTTGTAGAGGATGCGTGCACGTGACAATGAACGCCGAACACGTGAACTGCCTTACGGGACTGGTCATGAGTATGGACGCTCACTTCTAAGAAAGTTCGCTCGTCTGTAGGGCACTTATTGTGTTTCTTTTCCTCTTGTCGTCTGCCTTTGTTACCGGGAGTTTCAGCCAAAATCCTAGGAAGGTAGAAGGAAAATTATTCCCCCTCCTCCTCCCGTAATGTTGATTCAGAATTTTAAATGCACTTTTGAATTCTTTAATATGATGATGTAATGCATTGCTTCTCAGTATTCTAAACTGTCTTGCCATAGCATTTATTTTCTGTTTGAAAAGAAAGAACAAAACACTTGGATTTCTTCCCTTTGTAAGAGCAATTGATCATAAGCCCTGTTTGGACTTCTCAGCTGAGTCTTTGGCTGTGTTTCCCCCAGCTCCCAAGAGATGACTTGAGCTGCAGGTATTTCCCTTAAAAACTCTGGGACTTTGTACCCAAGTCCAGGAGAGCAATGGTGTGTCAACAATATAGTAGCCTTACTTAACCCTTACATGGGCTTCCCAGGTGTCTCATTGGTAAAGAACCCACCTGCCAACGCAGGAAATGTAAGAGATGGGGATTTGATCCCCAGGTCAGGATCCCCTGGAGAATGAGATGGCAACCCGCTCCAGTGTTCTTGCCTGGAGACTCCCATGGACAGAGTAGCCTGGCAGGGCCGCAGTCTATGGGGTCTCAAAGAGTCAGTCATGGCCTAGCAACTGGGCGACAACAGCTCTTACGTGAGAAATAAGGGCCCTGCTCTTTTCTTTTCATTGCCCTTCCAGGATTAATAACTGAAATCATCCATTTTTAGGACAGTTCCAGGGGCTGGACTCTGAAAACACAGGGTACCCTGGGCGTAAGAACTCTTACACCCAAAAAAGAATTCAAAAGTGCATTTAAAATTCTGAATCAATGTTACAGGAGGAGGAGGGGGAATAATTTTCCTTCTACCTTCCTAGGATTTTGGCTGAAACTCCCGGTAACAAAGACAGATGACAAGAGGAAAAGAAACACAATAAATCCCCTACAGAGGAGCGAACTTTCTTAGAAGCGAGCGTGCATACTCATGACCAGTCATGTAAAGTGATCCTCAGGATTGTTGTTGTTTAGACTCCTCTGCTCGTGGGATTTTCCAGGCAAGGATACTGGAGTGGGTTGCCATGGCCGGATCTTCCTGACCTAGGGATCGAACCCTCATCTCATGTCTCCTGCATTGGCAGGCGGGTTCTTTACCACTAATGCCACCTGGGGAGCCCCCTACAGGCTACTAGCTTCTGAGTCTCCCAAGGCCTCCAGAATCTCACTGATCGGGGTGTCTCTCCACCTGCTGGCTGAGCCCTTTGCCTTCCAGGCTCTTCGGAGCCCTGCATGATGCTGACCCGCGATGCGGGACGATGCTGCTCCTGCACGGTGGACAGAAATAACCCTGACCTACAAAAATCGTCAGAAAGAACTGACACGAAAAATGCAGAAGAAAAGAAATATCTCTTGGGAGATGAAACAGCTTCTGAAAAGAACAGACACGCGCACACTTTGATGTCTGAAAGCCAGAGGAACTCAGAAACCTCTGGAGAGAAAACTTTAAAAATAGAACTGTTTTTGAAGTTCTCAGGGACTCCACTCAGAACCGGGTCTCCAAAAGATGTTCGGAGGAGGCCACTGACAATAGCTAACCGGTCTTGATGGCTTGCCGTCAGCTGAGATCATGGTTGATATGCCTCACAACAAGGGAGGCAGCTGTTATTATTGTTATTACCTTTATTTTACAGGCGGAGAAACTGAGGCCCTGCTGGGGGAGCCCAGTGATATGGATCCGAGCTTTATGATTCCATAGCTCATGTGGGTTTCCATCTACTTTGGCAGTTCATCACTGTTCAGGGTTTCCCGGGTACCGCAAGAAGCACGGCTGACTCCTCTAGGGAAATTGATTGTTGGTGATGAGTCTAGGGCTGCAGATTCATACTTAACACTTGAGCACTTGATCTGTTCCTCCAAGCGAAGCCATCAAACAAAGCACTTCCTCGACTCCTCTGGCTTGGAAAAGGTCAGGTTGAAGCCCGTAGTCTGCAGACACCCACTCTCCACAGAGCAATCTGAACCATAATTTGTTCCCGCCAAAGTGACATTTTTCCAATTTGAGTCCAACATTGTTCAGAAGCAAGTGCATGTCCCCTGGGGCGCCTCCCGCGTTGTTCTGCAGCAGATGACAAACCAACAGTATCATCTAAATAAAAATTCCAGCGTGGGCTTAAGTAAATTAATCCTGACAAGAATAAATTGAATAATCTTCGGGAAATGGCAAGAGCTTGGATCTTGCCAGATGGCTTTTTCTGTCCCTGGCGTGGGTCCTTGGTGGCAGATTAAAAAAACAACAACAACAAAAATCCTGCCTTGGGTTTATTGATTTTGTTCCTTAGTTGATTAACACCTGCCATTTCTGTGTGGGTAAATCAAAATCGGATATGGATTCATCCTTGCAAACTCGTCATAGTTTCATTTGAGGAAGGAAAGAAAACGCGTGCTTCCCCTGGTCAGAATGGCATCCAACAGGCAGAGAACTGCTTTTGCCTGCCTGTTTTCTAGATGATATCGCCTAGGTTTAAACAATCTGCACTTTCATCTCTCTCATACCAAACTAATCTCTACTTTCTCTTCATGTTCCTTAGAGTAGGGTCCTAACCTCCAGTATCTAATGCCTGGTGATCTGAATTGGAGCTGATGTCATAATAATAGAAATAAATGCAATACCCTTGAATCATCCTGAAACCATTCTCCCTCACCCCCCGTCTTTGGAAACACTGTCTTCCATGAAACCTGTCCCTGGTGCCAAAATGGTTGGGGCCCACTGCCTTAGAGGATGACCTCAAAGAGAATTGTCAGTTGGAGGCAGGGTCACTCCTCTGCCTGCAAGGTCAATCAGACCTCAGTTGTTGAATTAGGAGTCTGAGTGGGAAAAGTGTGACTCCATGCCCTCCAACTGTGCTTCACAGATCGTCTGGGGTATCTCACTGTCTTAATCTGATTGGTGGTTAAACAACTGAAATTTATTTTGCTGAAGGTCTGAAGGCTGAAGGTTTCAGATCAGGGTGTCAGTATAGTCCAAGTTCTGGTGAGCATTCTCTTCCTAACAAGCAGATAACATCTTCTCGCTTTGTCCTTGTGTGGCCTCTTCTTGGTTCATGAGTGCAGAGAGATCAGAGAAGCTCTCTGATGTCTTCCCTCTGGTGCCTCTTCTTGTTGGTGTTCAGTCATTAAGACATGTCTGACTCTTTGTGACCCCACAGACTGCAGCAGGCCAGGCTTCCCTGTCCTTCACTATCTCCCGGAATTTTCTCAAACTCATGTCCATTGCATCAGTGATGCCATCCAACCATCTCATCCTCTGCCACTCCCTTCTCCTCCTACCCTCAATCTGTCCCTGCATCAGGGTCTTTTCCAATGAGTCGGCTCTTCACATCCCATGGCCAAAGTATTGGAACTTGAGTGTCTCTTCTTATAAGAGCACTAATCCTATTACATCAGGGTCCCATCCTCACACTTCATTGAACCTTAATTATGTTCTTAGAGGCCCATCTCTAAAGACAGCCAACTTGGGGTTCAAGGGCTTCAAACTATGCATTTGGGAAATACAACCATTCTGTCCACAACACTTGTTAAAATGTGGGCTCTGATTCAGGATCTCTCTGTAAGTATGTGTGTGTGTGTGTGTGTGTGTGTGTATAATACAATGTATGTAATACAATATGCAATGTATACAATATACAATGGATATAATATAATACAATGTGTATATAATATAATAAAATGTATATAATACAATGGAATACTACTCAGCCATAAAAAGAAAAAAGATAATGCCATTTGCTGCAATAAAGGACAGAAATGGTATGGACATAACAGAAGCTGAAGATATTAAGAAGTGGCAAGAATACACAGAAGAGCTATACAAAAATATCTTCATGACCCAGATAATCACAATGGTGTGATCACTCACCTAGAGCCAGACATCCTGGAATGCAAAATCAAGTAGGCCTTAGGAAGCATCACTACAGACAAAGGTAGTGAAGGTGATGGAATTCCAGCTGAGCTATTTCAAATACTGAAAGATGATGCTGTGAAAGTGCCACACTCAATATGCCAGCAAATTTGGAAAACTCAGCAGTGGCCACAGGACTGGAAAAGGTCAATTTTCATTCCAATCCCAAAGAAAGGCAGTGCCAAAGAGTGTTCAACGTACTGCACAATTGCACTCATCTCACATGCTAGCAAAGTAATTCCCAAAATTCTCCAATCCAGGTGTCAACAATACATGAACCATGAACTTCCAGATATTCAAGCTAGATTTAGAAAAGGCAGAGGAACCAGAGATCAAATTGCCAACATCCACTGGATCATCGAAAAAGCGAGAGAGTTCCAGAAAAGCATCTCCTTCTGCTTTATTGACTATGCCAAATTCTTTGACCGTGTGGGTCACCAGAATTTTCCAGCATCACTGGAAAATTCTTCAAAAGATGGGAATAGCAGACCACCTGCCCTGTCTCCTGAGAAGTGTGTATGCAGGTCAAGAAGCAACAGTTAGAACTGGACATGGAACAACAGGCTGGTTCCAAATTGGGAAAGGCTGTGTATTGTCACCCTGCTTATTTAACTTATATGAAGAGTACATTTCACATTTCATGTGAAATGCCAGACTGGATGAAGCACAAGCTGGAATCAAGATTGTTGGGA